AAATTTTAGTTTTACTATACCTTCACTAGAAATAGAATTTTAAAATTCTATGATGTGGACAATTTCCTTCCTAAATTACGTATTATCTCAAGTAGACAGTTTCTAAATCTCCCCATAACAAAAGGTATATTGTCATTTCTCAACTCAAAATACAGCTTCTAAATAGTAATTTCTAAGTTCTACATAAAGGTAAAATCTTACAAATCTCTTTGATGATATGTGCTATGGAAATGAGCTCTTCTGGTAAATTAATTTTCAAAGTGGTTTCTTTTTGCTGTCATTCCACTATATGGTCTACCAAAACTCTACTTGGGTAACTGGACATATCATCAACCCTCCTTTATTTTTGGTAAAGCCCTTCTCCTTATTCTGACCTAAACAAATAAAAACAAGTATAAAGTTGTATTTCATTGACTTAGCTTTCTATGCAGGAAATATGCAACTTCCTTTGAGGTGATTTTTCTGAACTTAAACTCATAACTTCTTAGGTATAAAATGATGTGGGAACAATGCTTTCTCTATTTAAGGTGCTCATAGCTGGGAGCAGTACAAAAACCTGGAACTTAAGACATCTAGCTTCTTGTGACGGAAAGTGTGTAAATTAAATGTCAAGAGGAAACCAAGTTGCAGAAATATGATCCAGTTGATTGCCCCACAGCTCCAGAGATGCAGGTCAGAAACTCAAGGCACACTGAATATGACCATTACCTGAACCTCATCCATTTCTGTAGGGTAATGTGCCAACAACCCAGTCTTTTCAAAAACATATGTGGAATTGATTCCAGTTTTACTAATAACTTTATTTAAATAAGACACGAAACTTCTATACTGAAAAAATACAAAACAAAAGCTACACATTTCCTTGTGTAAAGCCATGTTGTATAGTAACTCGAATACTGTTCAGCGCAGTGGCTAGAATTAAACAGTACAACTATATACAAAATTAAAACAATTTCTGACAAATTTCTACAGCTGGATGTAGGATACATTTGAGCTCAACAACTTCTGGGAAATTTACATGGCAAAGCGTAAGCTTTAACACATTTGGTTCAAAACTTTAATATATGCTAGAACAAATGTACAACACAATCAATATTTAGTTTCTCATGAGAAAATAAAAGCACATCACTATAAATATCGTACATCAGATTTCATCACCAAAAAAAGCATATTCAGTCCATCTTTTTGAAACTGATATTGACACTATTGCATCTTATTTGGACAAAAGCAGAGCATAAGATAAACACATTATGTAATCCTAAACCAGATATCAGAAGTTAAATGGAGCTCATATTTATCTTACGGAACTAGTAATTTTCTCCCTTTAACCATAATCTACAAAATATAGTATTTTCATCAAGGCCTGAGATTATTAGGGTTAAAGGTGTCTGCTGCTGAAAAGATTGTTTCAAAAGGTTCCCCTGTGAAAATGGCAAAAGTAAACTGAGTCCTTTTCTCCATGACAGTCTCCTACAATGTAACACTGACTAATTTAAAGGAGCCAGATGCACCTTCAGGAGAGAATATTACTGCAAACTTTGGTGGAAAGAAGAGAATTGGGATCATGACAAAATAATACACAGAACACACACACATTCACACTTACAATCATTTATTTAAAAAAATCAATTGTGTTGCTTTCTTCTCTATCATCCTTCTTCAACTTTCTTAGAAAACAAATGAAACAAAGAAAAATTCAGGAATGACTGATGGGAACTGAAACGTTCCTTTAATTGTAGGCACCTTGTTCCCCTAATTCTTAAGAAAATTGTGCCATACACTTTAGGTACAAATGAAACAACTCTAGGTTTCATTAAACTGAAAGCAATGGAATAAAATTATGAAAACTTTCCTTTGCATTTAGATACTCTCTTTGTGCTGCAAAAAAAAATCAATGTTTCAAAGTTGGGCTCCCCTAGTGACCAATCGGGAATATCTAGGGCTCTCTTCACACTATGTCAAGTCTGAAAGTTCAAGGCTATTTACTTGAATTTATGCTCTACTTCCCACATCCAAAATCGTAACATAACTATTCAGGATAGTATTATGAGAGGCTTAAATGAGACAGTGTCAAGCTATTGCTTTTGTAAGTCACCAAATACCCTGACTATCTATGTTGCATTAATTCTGAGACCCACATATTCTATGTGAATGTAACTTGTGTACCTACATTGCTTGAGGAAAACAATAACTTAAAAATGTGTCACTTTCCAACCTGCAAATTAAAGAATTTCCAAAACAGAAATTAAACATAAATATGCCTTTAGATAAAATAAAAACATTTATGACCCCAATGGCCAACAGTAAAAAATAAAAAAAAATGCAACCATCCACTGTGAAACCTCACTTGTTCTGAAATTAAACTTACACATTCTTGTCTTTACATCTCATCACATACAATGTGGAATGCTTATGTACAGTCTAGTACTGAACACTTTATTTGCAACATCATAACAGTCATTAACTGAGCAACACCTGAACTTTTAAAACAGCCACATTTACACATGTTGAAACAGTGAATGTAACAGTTGATTTACTTGTAACCACATGACAAAAGTGATGTCAAACACCACAGATTTGCTGGTTTTCCTCATGTTCATCCATGTCCAGGATTATCACTCTCCTAGGGTTGAATGCACTTCTTATTTTAAGAATGTGGAATGTAATTAGGACAGGGAAATGCATAAAATAAGGAAAGGCAAAGGAGTGATGTTTCCTCTTTAGCTTTTTAGCTGTGAAATATTTAATATCCCAATATGATATACATTCCAAGTTACCTGAGTTTAGACTTCAACTGAAGTACCTGAAGCTAGGCCAAAGGGTGGGCACTGTGCAACTGTTGTGGCCATTATTATTATTATTTTTTTGCATTGTATGTATTACAGAAGTTAGAAACAAACACCTGGATCAATTGTAAACATAATCCTGAAGTACAGTATTTTCCATAGGACAAAACACAGCAAGACATTTTCTATTTAGACAGGCAACTTTTTGATATAGAGCTTATTTATACTGAAGAATTTGGGACAAAACACAGGACACAGTACTAATCTGTCAAACATACTATGAAATGCATAGTCTCCACTTAAAATGCTGACCGACACACACATTTTGCAAGCATTACTGCTTTCCACAAAAACTGCTGAATAGGAGTTCCGTCCCTGCCAAGATCAGTGTTAAGAGATACTTTATGATGCTGATAAGTATTTTGTTGTTGGTGGTGGTGTTCAGAAAGCTTGTCACTCCATGCAGATATATGTCTGAGATCTCATTCCTAATCCATGGAACGTAGGGGTGGAGGCCAGCTCCCCCTTATTTAGATGATCACATAGTTCTGAGCAGAGATGTGTTCCTCAACCTGCAATTCCTGCAGGAGCTGCTGCTGCTGGGATGGCTGTGGGACAGAGGCGTCTGTGGAGCCTGCTGTGCTGGTGTCATCAGAAAGAGATGTGAAGGTAACCCGGGATGAGAGCTGCTCAACGGTCAGAGTTGCCAGGGCTGAGCTCTGGCCAGAACTAGGAGAGCTTTTGAGCATCAGGTCAGAGGCAGGTAAGAGAGGGCCTAGAAGTTTTACAGGACAGAAAGCTGATCCGGTTGGGATGAAATTAACCTTGTTTTTGTCAGGACATGAAAAGAGAGGGGCCGAGATAGGCTGACGAGACCTAAAAGCATAAAACAAAATTAGATTTACAATCACAAAAAAAGTTATGCACTTTCTGAATTAATTAGCTTTCTCTATAATAGGTAAAATGTGAATGGCAGGGAATGGGTTAAGTGTACACAGAGAGGTAAACATCTTCCATAGCAAAGTCAGCTTGCAAACTACGCATGTACACAGCACTGAAATAGTATCTGAGACAAAAGGATTTTAAGAAGTATCAGGTAGACAAATTTTTACACAGATCATTAGTGCTGATCATTACTTCAAAGCATTTTGGAATATGGGAAATATCTACATTATAGTTGAAGGTTATACAAGGTTAGGATGACCTTTTCTATTAAGACAAAGTATGTGGGGGGCATTACTCCATTGTATGTTTGGTTTTAAGTACTTCTTCCTTTTTGTGCATCTCATGACATGCTTCTCCTAGCATGGGTGGAGGGGGAAGTTTTAGAGATCTCTCAAGAGCCAGTCAGTTCAACAGAGCAGAGTCCACAAGTCCTTCCCCTCCTCACTGTCCAAAGAGCTAAGCTACCAATCAACCCCTGCAAGACTGGTCTCTGAAAGAGAACAGCAGCTCTACTAAACATCTCCTTTGAGACAAAGGAATAAGTGAATTCAAGAGCCACAGTCTCCTGAGCTATTATGACTGGCATTTACACCATGAACCTCTTTTTCTAATTTAATTTCTAAATGTATATACTAACATTTCAAAAGAAAGCCTGAATTCAATGAACAGACATGCTGGATGTGTCTATAAGGAAGAAGACTCATTTCCACCTGGCTTGTAGAATACAGTGTCTTTAGGTTAGGCCTGCATGTATATTAACTTTGCTCCTAAAAGTCTTTTTGTTAGCCACCTAAACTAACAGGTCTTAAAGGAAAATTCATAATGATTAAAACAGATCTTTTAGGTACTAAGGAGGAGTTTCCGAGTTTCTTTTTATTGGCTTTAACATTCCCAGCATGTAGATTCCAATTCTCCCTTAATAAGATTCTCTTTTGCCTAGTCAATTCTCTTCATAATTTGCTTTTGAAACACATCTTCAGCTGGATAGAGAAGTTGATTCATCTGTAATCAACTGGTCTCAGTAAAAAGCGTTACAGCTTTGCAGATCCCAGCTGACAGAAAAGACATTACTTACGCCATCTCCTCAAAGACCTTCACTCGCTCACATCCCTCTGGGGGCTCCCGTTTGAACATGTAGCTGTTGTTTGGTTTGGGAGATGAAGCATACTTGGGTAACGGTGAGCTACTCCCACTGTCTGTAAATTTAAAGCAGTTATATTAACTAGTGATTGAAAGCTCTTTTAAATTAAATTTGATTTCCAAACAAACAGCCTTTTGCACAGTTTATCCACTACTGCCCCACTGCTTCCACCACAGAGCTTCCTTTATTGAAAAGCTATTTCTAACACCCTGTGCAGTGTGTTTCTTCTAGACAAAAACAATGCAACAGTAATCCGCCATACCATAGGATAGAAAGCAGGACATTTTGGTTCAGAAAACTGCATTTTGAATAAAGAAGAGCTGTAATCCTGAAAACAAATGTTATTTTTTATGTATTTCAAAAAGGTAAATAAATAGGGTAATATGCAGAAGTGATACAGAAAAATTAAGAACAGATTATCCTCTCTATTTTTTACTGTTCAACCAAATTAACTGAAGATTTTAGTATGTGAAATATCTTCATTACAAAAGTTCTTAGCAGAAATGTTATTTTTACTAAGCACTATAAACAACATGTATACAGGGAAAAATAGGTTTATAACACAACTTTTCCCATCTATCCATGAAAAAAAAGCTAATTTGTTAAGAATTTGGCATTTTAACAAGATTCTTTTAAATGTATGTATGTATGTATTTATAATTTCCAGAAAGTGTGTATGCACTTGCCAGAGAGCATGTGTGCACATATGTGTGTGTACCCCTCAATGGGATGTGGTCATACTACAATCTTTTTTCTTCCACTACTCCTTCTTGTCAGATTTTGGACATGCCCACACATATTCTCCACATTTTTCAAGCTCTGGAGCCAGAAATCAAACAGCCAAATGGAATCTGGTTTTCTATGCTCAGCATTTAATTCCTATGCTACAGAAGTGGCTTGAATTTTGCCTTTAATATACGCATATTAAAAGGTTTGTATTTTTACTACTAGAAGACATAAGAGATCAAAAGCCAAAAGACCTATATGTAATTTCTTTCTTTGCTACTTGACATATGATCCTAGAAATTCAAATCCACCAAAATATGTCATCATCATTGTAAGAAGCCAAGTTGTAAAGTCGTAACATATCTGTACAAATACAACAGTCCTATTTAAACAAACTCTGACTTAATACAAACCAGTCACCACTGCTAAAATACTAAGTATATGATCTATTGAGATGAATTATTTTCCTCTACTTTGAAAATGGCATTAGTACCAAAATTATGTCTGTCATAATTTTGATAACTTGCTTTAATTTAGGATATAGACCAGTTTGACATTCACACACTGAGTAACAGAAATGTTTTTTATCAATATAAATAAAGCCTAACATATATTTAGAAAGACCCCAATGCACGTTAATACTTGTGAATGATTCAAAGAACCTCAATGTTACTCTGTCAAATGCAGATCCAAATATGGCTGTATTTCTGGGTGGGAAATCAATGTCTGCAAAATAATAAGGCTATACTCTTGGGAAAGCTAGAAAACCATATACATTCTCTATCATTATTGTGCATGTCTCTACAGAATACGCACAGGATAATCCCTCAGGAGGAACTTCAATCTTAGAATGAGGTTGTGTTTCCTCGTATGTCATTCAAATTTCATGATTTTCTTAGATTCAAACAGTATCCTGTAATTCTTCCTTAAGCAAATAGGAGGGAAGAAAAGGAAGGTGATTTTTCCCTTCTAGGTTGATGCAAAGTGTCATTAGCATGATTGGAGGTCTGAATTTGCTGCTCTCAATTTTACCTGGGCTAGACAAAACTGGTCCATGATCAAAAACTGGTGAGAATGAGGCCTTGGACTCAATGAAATACCAAAAATATAGCTCGACATCACGTTACTACTCAAACATCAACAAGCCATGCAGAAGAAATACATGAGATCAAGAACACCAGGGAAGAGATACAGCATGAGATGCCTCTGCAGAGATTACTGCTGGACACAACACAGCTATACAGCATAGCTCACATGGCGTGAGGAGTGCAGAATCAGCCTAAACCTTTATCAAGTCTTTTATGCTATCAGTAGGGGTGTTACCATAAAGTAGTCGGGGATCCACCCTATTATCAAAAAAGAATTTAAGTCATCTTGGCTACAGTGACAGTCTTCTGTGTTCTATTTCCTATACTGTCATCAACCCTATTTTATTTCTCTCACAACTTTACTGATTGTTTCAAAGCATTTTCCCAGAGTTGAAAGCTAGATGTGATTTGGATAATCTTGCAAAACTGATTATCATAACAATCCAGAATGAGTTAGTTTTTCTTCTTAATATCTCATTTCAGATGCTACACGTGTTATTATTTTGTTGCAGAGTTTTACTAACTTAAACATTCTTTTTTTTTGTTTTTTTTTTTTGTTTTTTTTTTTTGAGGGGGCAGTTGGGGAGGTATGGTTAGTGTTTCACAAACAAAATAATTACAGGTACCTGTTAATAGCAGGGTTAGGGGTGCAGACTTCCGCACAGTCAAATATCTGCATATAACTTTTGACTCCTCCCAAATGTAATTATTAATTGCCTACTGTTGACCAGAACCCTTACTGATAATATAAGCAATGAACACATTTTTGAAGATTTTTCCTAACTTAAACATTTTTTTTTTTTTTTTTTTTTTTGAGGGGGCAGTTGGGGAGGTATGGTTAGTGTTTCACAAACAAAATAATTACAGGTACCTGTTAATAGCAGGGTTAGGGGTGCAGACTTCCGCACAGTCAAATATCTGCATATAACTTTTGACTCCTCCCAAATGTAATTATTAATTGCCTACTGTTGACCAGAACCCTTACTGATAATATAAGCAATGAACACATATTTATAACTGCATTCTTATTATAAAGTAAGCTAGAACAAATAAAATGTTATCCAGAAAATCATAAGGAGCCCAGCTGCAGTGCTGCAAGTGGTAGGGTGTTGCTGCACAATACTGGAGTCATACAGGAGGCCTGAGTTTGGACCCTGGGCCAGCCTGAACATGCCTGATCCCAGCTGGCTAGAGGATAAGCAGTATTTTTTCACTCTTTCTCTTTCTTTCTCTCTCTCTTTCTCTCTCTTTCTTTCTTTCTCTCTCTCCCTTCCTTCCTTCCTTCCTTCCTTCTTTCTTTCTTTCTCTCTCTCCCTTCCTTCCTTCCTTCCTTCCTTCCTTCCTTCCTTCCTTCCTTCCTTCCTTCCTTCCTTCCTTCCTGTGTCTCTGGTGAATGCAAACATCCCACAGTAAAATTTTAAGAAATATCAATGTCCAGACCTCATCTCTGTAAGTTACTAGGATTACAGGTGCCCACCACCATTCCCAGTCATTAGGTTGAACTGGGAATCAAATCCTGATCTTCCATTTTGTCCCAGTCCAAATAGCAGTGCATCTTAGAAGTGCATTCCACTGCAGCTGAATCTAAGGTAAGTTTAATCCAACTCTTTTTGTGATCTGTAAAAACAGGGTAACCACTGATGTAAATTGTGAAGAATGCATATGAAAGGGTTAGATATTGCCCCCAATACAGTAAACACTCAACAATACTATATAAAGAATGCATTTCTCTAATCTGGAAATCTTAAAAAGTGAATTATCCATAAATGCACTCTGTATTCCCTATTTCACTATTTTGGCAAACGGGAGTAACAAATGTCATTTTTTTTTTTGAGAAGTTTTCACTATAGGGGGCGTGCGCTCGCCAGACAGACAGAGAGAGACATAGAGACAGAAAGCGAGACATCACTCCCCAGGGGGGATGGTCACGCCGCAATCCCTTCTCCTCCATTCTCCTCTTGGGATCTTGGGCACGCACGCACACACACCCAGCGTGAGTTTTAAGCCACCTGGTCCAAGATGCGAACCGCGGTCGACTACGTGGGAGTCCAGCGACATAGCCGTTACGCTAACTGCTGGTTCCCGACAAATGTCATTTTTTAACAGATTTGAACACTCTATTGAGGTACATACAGATAAAATCAAATAGACGTGAAATTTTGTTCCTGGCAGGGAAACAGAGTAATATTTAAGAGTACCAGATCTTCCAGGTTTGTCACTGTGTAGCATCAATTCTGCCAATTCATGATGGAATCCTTTAGTGTATAGAGAGATCTATCATCTCAAAATCAATGCCTAAAGCATGCAGATTCTAAAATCTACAGTACAAAGAAAATGTTTCTATAGCATATGCAGCAATATCCAGTGGAATGTAATTCTTATTCTATTCTTCCAAGATAGGTAACTCACTGGGAAAGTTCAATGACATGCTAAGAGTATAATGAAAGTACAAAAGTTAGTCCAAAGAGTTAGATTAGAAATATGACTGACTGGGGCCAGCAGGTAGCATGGTGTTTAAGAGCCGGATTCTCATGTGGGCTGACTGCAGTTCAAGTTCTGGATTTGGTTTCCTCCAAGATAGGTAACTTACTGGGAAAGTTCAATGACATGCTAAGAGTATAATGAAAGTACAAAAGTTAGTCCAGAGAGTTAGATTAGAAATATGACTGACTGGGGCCAGCAGGTAGCATGGTGTTTAAGAGCCGGACTCTCATGTGGGCTGACTGCAGTTCAAGTTCTGGATTTGGTGGCTTGCTTTGCCACCTTCTCTTTCTCTCTGCATCTCTCTGGTCAAATTAAAAAATAATAACAACAAATAGAATTAAATAATTCTTAAGAAAAGAAATATGATTGACTAAACAGAACCAAAACAGAGTTAGAATTCTAGTGTTAAAATGACCAATTTTGCTTTAGGAAATGTAATTACCAACTGTGGCATGGTTTGTTGGCCTAATGAAATCAGAAAAAACATAATTGTGTATAATAGTTCTTGACAATAAACTTTTAAAACCAGCTAGGATTACCAATTGTACCAAAATGCCCACATTTTCAGTGAACTCACAGACCAAATTGGGAATCTATAAGTGAAAAGAATATTTAGCTTTTACAAATAGCCTCTAAGTTTCTCTAAACTTTCAAAGCTAACACGCTTTATGAGAATGCTACAGAATTTTAATAGAACAAGACATCAGTTACACCCAAGACCTCCTTTACATCAGTATTCAACAATGGGTAAGAAAAA